TATACTAATTTTTCACTTTCACGTTTCAAACAATTCATTCAAATGCTTCATATACTTTGAAGACCTCAGTATCTTTGTGGTCACAAAGCTATTCTCTGAGACACCCAGCACCTTTCACTTCCATTTAAGTTGTCTGAGACACAGAACTTTCTGAATGTAAGTATGATACTGTTATTGGTTATCTTATCTAATAACTTGTTGAGTCTACTTGTAGTTATTCTTTCACTTTCCGAAGAGTTGAAAATTAGGACTACATTTCAGTATTGTATCAGAGAATAAATAAATTTGGTTGCTTAAGAGACACCATAGAAGTCATTAAAAAATCAGTCAACAATATGACAATCACTATTCCTAGAATGCTGTTAATTTTCAAAATATTTATCTTTTGGTGATTATCATCCTTCCAACAATCTGTTTAGATGGACTACTTTTCTCCTGAATATACAACTGTAGCTACAAAAAATTTGTACTTTCAAATGTATTTCTTACTTTGTTTTTGTTAAATAAAATTGTGATTAAAAGGATAGGTGTTGACATGTCTTCACTGAATATGAAGTGAATTCTGATTTGAAACTAATGTTTTTTATTGTAATGAGGGAGCTACTGCCTTCTTGTTCCTGTTTGCTGCTAGGAGCTTTTAGTGGAAATTGGTATCTGTTGCTATAATCACATAATTTTTATTAAGTCAGCCAATATGACTCTATATCATATGGAAAGCACTCTTGAACTCCCTATCTGATTATGGCATATATCTCTTAATTTATTTTCATCCTATTTTGAACTTCTGTTTTCAATTTATAAATCTATATACATTTGTATGTAAAATTCATATCTTTTATATATAAGTACTGATTTATTTTTACTGCTGTATGTTAAAAGTCTATTTTATTTTAAATACTCTGACAATTTAAAAAAAATTGATTTATAATATTATTTTAAACATAAGGTCTTATTATATTCTTGAAAAAAAAATCAGTCAAGAATATGCAATCACCAATAATGATTAAAGTGCAGTGCTCCAACCAAGTTGCTAAGGTTAAGTATTAAGAAGGACAAGGAAGAGACCTAATACTTGGAGTCAGGACTAATTCCCAGAGAACTTCCCTAAATATCTAGTCTTAAGCAAGGCAAAATATGAACATACCATGTCAAGAAATTTATGAATTTTTGACAAAGATCAAATCACATTTTTAGGAGACCTAGAACACTAACCTTCAAGAGGCGGTTTCAAGTATGACTGAAAAAGAAACAACTGTCCCAATAATAGAACTAGAGAGCCAGAGGGGGATGTTGAAAGGAATCTGATCCAGTTTCCTGTCACAGACAACATTTTGATAAAGGAAAAGTGGTTTTGTTGGGAAGAACAGAAAATAAAAGGAAGACAAAAAGTCTAGGAAAAAAATATTAAGAAAGTAAAGCAATCTTCCAAATGTCACTATTCATATGTAGAAACTCTAAATGAAGCCTAGATCTTGGTAAGCATTTTTTTTTCCTGCAATATATTTAAAGTTTTTTCTGTTGGAATATTCAATTTCAAAACTTTCTGGGGTTCAGAGTCTGACACTGGGAACATTTACCAAACCTTGTGAGATGGTTATACTACCACTCCTGCAAAGGATACTGATGAAATAGTCCCACACAACAAAAGCCACCACATTTGTATTTAGATATTATTAAAAGTCTCTTTCTCATGGGATAAACGGCTCTGACAGACAGAAATCAAACTAACATTTATTTTTCAACAAGTCTAACTCTAGAAATAATTATACGTTCAAATGCTCTAATCCTGTTTATGGTCGTTCCCATATCTGCTTTTATTGCTAAGGTCAGCATTAAGGTTTGGTTAGTGTATATTAGGATAGCAATTACTTCCAGATTCATTTGGCAGAATTACTTCTACAGTAAGGGGGATATGATAAACAGTACACAGTCAGCAAATTTTGCAATCTGTTTTGAAGTGCTATTATCTTACCATATTATACCAGGCACTAACAATATATTTCTCCTCCATTTCTCTTTGACTCTTTGTTTTCTCATATTCTTTCTAAAAAACAAGCACATGTAAAGATATAAAAACAAATATTTGTAAAATATAATTCACTGTTTAAATACACAGATATCATTGTATGATATAGGAGGTTACTATAAAATAAAGAATCAAAAACCAATTCATATTGCATTGTGTAGGATATGACCTCTAATGAGTGAAACAGTCGGTCTCGTTCCTGGAGTTGATTTTTAAGAGCTTGGATTTCTGGTGCTGCTCCTTGATTCTGTTTAGGATCTAAAGTACGGATAACCTGCAAAAAGTCATAAATGAAAAATTTAAGAAGTCTCAAATTTAAAGAATATCAAAACATCTAAGGAAGCAGTTATTTTAAAGAAAAGTCAAAGATAAATCTTATGAGAATCAAAGTTTACAAGGAAACTTTAAAATGTGAATGTATGAAGTAATATTCTGTGGTTGTACCTTTAAAATTTTATAGTAGAATCAATTGTAATAAGTAACTTTGAGTTAAAATTAATAAATAATACTACAGCAGACACTAGTGACAGCTGTTTACCCTTTTCCCTTCCTCATGAACAGAATCCTGAATTTGGCTTAGCTAGCCATCTGACTTTGACAGACTTCAGGGAGTGGGTTCTGACTTGGTTAAGACTATCACTGTGGCCCTATCTCCTCTTTTGTCAGTGGTTTGGTTTAGGCGTGGATACTTGATGCAATTCTGGCTGACCAACTAGAGGTCTTCTGAGAAAGTTTTTCCTCCTTATACTTTTACTATCAAAATGTTCAAGCCTATAGAAACTTGAAGAATAGATAAAACTTGTTTACCTTTAACCCAGCTTCATCAATTTTCACATCTGATCCCCCCCCCCCTTTATAAACACACACACTTGTTTCTGGGACATCTTACAGTAATGTGCAGACCTCTGAACACAACCTCTAAAAATTTCAGCACACATCTCCTTAGAATAAAGACATTCTTCTACATAATCAAAATACCATTATTATCTGTAAGAAAATGAGTAGTTCTCTATAAAATCATCATTATTCAGTCCCAATTTCTATTTCCACAATTGTCTTCAAAATGTCTTTTATAACTGACCCTCTCCACCGCTAATCCAGTATCCAAAGGTTAATGCATTGTATTTGGCAGTTAGGTCCCTTTGGGCTCTTTTATATTAAACTAGCAGATCCCTTCACAAGCCCCACCTTTTTTTGTTTCTCATGCCACTGACTTCTTACCCAAATTTTAGATCTATCTGATACTTTCCTAAAAGTGTTATTTCACGTGTTCCAATAACCTCATTTGTCCTGTGAACTAGAAGTTAGGGCTAGAGGATTAATTAGATTCAGATGAATAATTATTGGCAATCATGTTGTATCAGAAGCACCAGAGATTAGTTGTCCCACTATTAGAGTTGCTAATTTTGATTTGGTTAAGCTGTTGACTGCAGTTATTTCTTTTGTAAAAGGTACACTGCCCTCTTGATAATTTAGTAACTAACCTGTAGGGTAACCTACTTTGATACTGCTGCTTGTCCAGGCTCTTTTTCTTTTTTAAAAGTTTTCTTTAGTTCTTCTCCTGATCCCTCTCTGTGTGCAAAGTCACTGTATGTGCACTGTATTTTGAGGCTTCAGTGAAAAATGATCAGAAAGTAGAGTGAGATGCCCACAAATTTATACTTACACTTTTGGCTTTCTCTAAGTATTTTTTATATCGTTCTTCCATTTGCTTCATTTCCTCTTCTTTCTTCCGTAAAGCTTCTTGTAATTCTTCAATTTTTAATGCTGTTGATCAGATATGTAAAAAAAAAAAAGAGTGCAATATCTTAAAACATTTCAACTGAAAAAAAAAATATTATATTATATTATAAATAATATTATATTATATAATAAAATAAAATAAATAGTAGCTAACAGTTCTGGGAGACTGAACTATTTCTTTAAATAATTTCCTTTTTCAAAGATTCAACTTGTAATTTTCTTTTTAAAGCTTTTCTTATAAATAAGAACTCCAGTAGGAAAGTACATATATTAAACAGTAAAAGTCTGTCCTGTCCCACCTCAATAAAAAAGGACTAATAAAATCAAGCTACCTACAAGTGTAAATACCAAAGGAAGGAAAGGTTTGACTGACTTATATGCACCACACTGAAAATATCCAATTTCATGAAATGTTCATATAGCTTCTAGATTTAAGGAAAAATTGACAACTATGATTAGAAATGTAAGGAATATTATAAAGATGACTGAATAGTCTTTCTGTAAGAAAGACAAACTCTTTAACGTGCCAGAAGAATGAACAAATCTATCCTGGAAGAAGTGCAGCTGGAATGCACCTTGGAAGCAAGAATGGACAGACTGCATCTCTCCTACTTAGGTCATGTGGTCAGAAGGGACCATTCCCTGGAGAAGGATATTATGCTTGATAAAGTAGAGTGTCCACGAAAAAGGGGCAGACCCTCAACAAAATGGATTGACACAGTGACTGCAATGATGGGTTCACTTATAGCAAGGATTCTGAGGCTGGTGCAAGACCAGACAGTGTTTTGTTCTGTTGTACAGAGGGTTGCTATGAGTCAGAGCTGACTCGATGGCACCTAACAAAAACAATAACAATATATGTAAAAGGGACTATTTCTAAAAGAAACAATTTCACATAAACTCATTACTATTAGTATAAGGCTAACCCAACTTAAAACTATGCTAATTAGGAGAGACTCACAGCTATTGTTAAATCTTGGTTCCAGATCTTCAATAATGGCTCTCTTCTTCTGCAACTCATTATTGGCTTCATGCAGCTTCTCTCTATGACAAAATATGTGTAACACTGTGTCATTTATTACTGTTTCTGTATTTTTTCCCACTTCAAATAAAAGATCTAGATCTTCATTGTTGGAATACACTGGCATAACACACATGTGCTATGAAACAAAGAGAAAAAGGCTAAACCAAAGTGAATATCATATGTTTTAAAAATAAATGAAGACAAAGATCTAGAGTTGAAACACTAATCATTTCTTTTACAGTAATCTGTACAGATGATACAGGGAAATGATCTTTATTTTTTTTGAAAAAGAAAATTATAAAAATTAAAAGTTTACAGAGATTTTACAATGTAAAATCTTGTTGCAAGAAAGTTGAAGTGGAGGAATAGGCAGACAAGCGACACAGACCCTCTTCAACAAAGAAAAGAAAAACAAATTGACAGAGATACAGAAGATAATCCAGGAGCCCTGTGCTTTGAAAGGAACTATGCAGAAATGGATTAGGTAGCAATTAGTAGTAAAACCTGAACGAAAACAGTGAGTACAGAGATGGTCAGAACTGCGGACTGTCAGCTACTCTGACAGGACCAATAGCCTGAATATTTCCAAGTGATGTTGTTGTTGTTGTTGTTGTTGTTCTGTGCCATCGAGTCGGCCCCAACTCATAGTGACCCCTCCTTGGGTTTCCAACCTGAGAATTGACCTAAAAATCAGCCGTGGTCACCAAGGGCTGCAGAGACGACTGTGCTGGTGGTCTATGACTAGGAAAGGAAACAGCAAAGGGAGACTACCTGAGCTGTGAACTTTCCACTGTCCAGAGGGTGCAGCCATTTTGATTGTTTACATGCAGCAGCCATTTTAGATATTTAAAGTGACCAAAGGCACAGCTATTTTGAATGTTTGTAGTGGCATCCATTTTGGATATCTAAAGTGACCAAGGGTGCAGCCAATTTGAATGTTTACAAGCAACAGCCATTTTGGATATTTAAAGTGACTGAGGGTGCAGCCATTTTGAATCTTTACAACCAGCAACCATTTTGGATTTTAAAGTGATAGCATTCTCATTCAGACTCCAGGGACCTAAGAATAGGCTCTGTTTGCCAAAGTCGGTAGGGACATCCGAGAAGCTGACAACAGGAAAGGAGACAGGTGGGGAGTGTATAAGTGATGTCAACTAGTGAATAGAGGAGCACAGTACCCTGCTTTCATAGATAACATACAAAGAAAACTAAAATCGTGGGCAAGTCACTCCAACACACAATCAACAATTAAATATAAACACAAAAATGTCACAATGCCTCAGGGATAGGAGAGCATCACAGTCCACACAAAGAAGCAAGATAAAGGAGGAGAAACAAGGGACCAGGATACAGACCCAAAACATATTCCTGAGGAAGATGTAGCACTGGAACTCCCTGAGAAGGAATTCAAAAGAATTATATTTAGGTATGTTCAACGAATTGAGAGACAGATCAAGGAAAACATAGAGAAAACCCTAGAATGATTTCGAAAGACAATACAAGAACAAAATGACAAAATAAATGAAAAATCAGAAATCATACAAAATCTACACACAGAAATCCAGATGATTAATACTGAATTTTCAGAAATAGATAAGACATTGAATGGGCAAAGGAGCAGAATTGAATCAATAGAAGACAGTATTAGGGAGATTGAAGGCAAATACCTGAACACTTCTTTGGAAAAGGATAAATCAGAAAAAAGATCAAAACAAAATGAAGAAAGCCTAAGGTTCATGTGGGATACTGTCAAAAAGAATAACCTACATGTCACTGGAATTCCAGAACAGGAAGACACAAATAAAACCACAAAGAAAATTGTTGGAGATTTGTTGGAAGAGAAATTATCTTGGTATGACGAAAGATGGGAATATGTCCATTCAGGAAGTCCAACGAACCCGAAACAGGATAGACCCCAAAACAAAATCACCCAGACATATCATTATCAAACTCACCAAGACCAAAGACAAAGAATCATGAGAGCAACATGGGAAAAATGAAAAGTTACCTACAGGGGCAACCAATAAGACTAAGCTTGGATTTCTTGACAGAAACCATGCAGGTGAGAAGACAATGGGATGGTATATATAAAACCCTGAAAGAGAAAAATTTCCAACCAAGAATTATGTATCCAGCAAAATTGTCCCTCAAATATAATGGCAAAATCAGGACATTTCCAGATACGCAGAAATTTAGGTAATTTGTTAAACCCACACTTAACTTACAAGACATGCTAAAGGGAGTCCTTTGGCCAGAGAAACAACAACAGCAAACAACAACTGACCATTAACACACATGATGATATAACCCAGAAACCAACACAGCTATGGAAGTATCCAAAGTAAAAAGCCTACAAGACTGTAAACAGGGAACCAGAGATATCAATTGACAAATGTGAACAACTACAAACCAAAAAGAGGGTAAAAAAATGTGTCATTATAGAACTTCTAGATGGTAGAGAAGTCAAGACAAGGACAAGATAGAACAGACTGTTCTAAACTTGGGAAGAAAACTATAACTCACAGGCTAACCTCAAAGAAAAATGATAAACCTTCACATCAACAAAGAAGACCAGCATAAATATTCAGCAAATACTAAAACAAAAGCAATGAAGGAAGTGATAACACGATTCATAAACAAAATGAGCTCAGCATAGAAAATTATATGGAACAAAGAAATTGACACCATGAAAAACACATGACAAAAATGGCAGCAAAAAATTCATATCTGCCAATAATTACATATCTGGCAAGGGATTAATCTCTAAGATTTATAGCATAAGAGTGGATGACCAAACTATGGTACTTACACATAATGGAATGAATGCTATGCAGCACTAAAGAATAATGTAGAGTCTGCAAAACACCGCACAATATGGATGAACTTGGAGGACATTATGCTGAGTGACATAAATCAATCACAGAAGGACAGATATAGTATTAGTTCATTGCTGTGGAGGGTCAAGGAAAGGTTTATATATGGAGGGAAACTTTCTTTGTTGCTTGCCAGGGGTGGGAGGGGAAGAGAGGGAACACTGCAAAAGAAAAATGCAATGACACATAGCACTTTAGTTTTGTGTATTTCATTGTACATAAATTATATTTCAATAAAACACATTAAAAATAAAAGAAAGTTAAGGTGCTAAAAATAAGACAACAAAAAATATTACAATATTTGAAAAAAGAAAACTGAGTTCTGGTAAGATGGCGGAATAGGCACCAAGACTGCACAGACCCTCTTCAACAAAGAAAAGGGGAACCAATTAACAGAAACAGAAGATAATCCTGGACCCCTGAGCCTTGAAGGGAAGGATATAGAAGTGGACTAAACCCCAACTAGCAGAAGAATTTGGATCAAAATACCAAAAAAGGAGACATATGGAGCTGTGGTCTGGCAGCGATTCTGAGCAATCCTGACGGCACAGGTAGTTTGGAGATTGCTGAGTCTGGCAGGACCTAAGAATTAAGCTAAAAATCAGCCCTGCTAACCAGGGGCTGTGCAGAGAACTGCTCGGGTGGCTGGGGAATAAAAAGCGAAGCAGCAGCGAAGAGGAAGGTGAGCTGAGCTGTGGACTTTTGCCTGTCCAGAGGACGCAGCCATTTTGAATGTTTACAAGCGGCTTGACAATTTCAGATATTTAAACAGACAGCTTTCTCACAGATGTCAGGGACTTAAGAA